GGGGTTTAGGGTTTAGGGCTTCCCGTCCATTCTGAGGGGTTTAGGGTTTAAGGTGTAAGGTTCGCGGATTCAGGCAGTTTTTTCGGATGTGAAGGGGCTTTGAAGACTTTTTTCGTTACATGCTTCATGGTGTTTGAAGGGTTTCCGGGTTTCTAGCAGTTCAGGGTTTGGGGTTTCTTGTGGTGTTTAGGCATGAAGGCTCTCAGGGCTTCACGGCCTAGCGTGTCTGGGGATCTCCTATTTGGGATAAGGGCCTAATATAGGGGCCTTAATAATTACCTAGACTCTTTTGGGTGTTCCTGATTGTAGTTATAGTATAGCATGCCCCAAAACCCTATATTAAGGCCCCTAAATTAGGTCTTGGCTTCCCCATCATCGAATCAATGGTGCTGGTAATGGCAGTATGTGCACAGAGAAGACGTCATAATCATCGCCATTGTCATGCTGATGATGCCACTGAAATGAATATCAGTAGAAGTATATGTGTCTGTGTATGTATAGACTTTTAGATACAACATACGTCTGATGCAACTGCATGTACCTGCCTTTATTGCACCAAATTCTAGTATGTTGCACATTTCAATTTCTATCACCAACCCAACACCCTGCAAACACAGGGATACCCAAAAGAAACGTCGCAAGTTGTGGGATCCTTATCATGCGAACCACTGCAAACCTGAAGGAAGTCCCCAAACCACCGCATCCCCAAGATAATCCTCCATCGACATAATAGCATGTGTAGCACAGTGTGTATGTATATATATATATATATATATGGTTATCTATATATATATATAGGGTTATATATACATACATATACACAGCAAAAATACCCAATTTTTCGAAGCTTTGGCACCTAGGCCCGGCATGGGCAGAAGGAGCTGGGGATGGCGCAGAGCGACTCCAAAGTGAAATCCAGGATGGGGCGAGATCTGCCGGTCGAAGTCGTCGTCCGCAACCGACTCCAAAGGTAGGACTGAGGCTAAGGATTCCTTAGTTCATAAGCCCCAAAAAGTGTACACTTTCAGTTCTAGAAGGGATCATATAATCCCAAAAAGTGTAAAGTGTACTCAGCTACTAAGATTCCAGGGTGTTCGATGGTCCGAAGGAGTGTCTTTGGGCCATATACCGAGGCTTTGGCTGCGGACTTCGGCAGGGGCCGGGCATGGCTGTAACAAGCATGGGGCATTCCACAAGTCTGGCAGAAGCGCGGTCTGGTGTAGAAGACCTTCGCTCTGCCGAAGGTGGCCTTGGCGAGATCACCAGCTCTCCATGGACTTTGGAATCCCCGGTGACCACCTCCAATCCGTGCACCTCTAGCCCTGGCAATGCACCCGTAGTCTGGGGTCGGGAACTTGGTAAGGGGAAGGTTGGGGACTCCTGCAGGAGAGTTCGTCCCGTCTTCCGGCCTGTGTGGCGTCGTGGGCCCCGGCGCAGGCCCCGGGGGGTGGGGACCGTGGAAGGCCTGGGAGCGGTTCCGCTTTCCTGGTAGGTCAAGGCAGCTCGAAGGTCTTCACGCTTCGGCACTGGCCTTCCGCCATTTGCATCTGGCTTCCATAAGATCTGAGGCTCGAAGATGGGCCCGGTTGGGAACCTGGCCTTCCGATGTTGCTGCTTCTTCCGCTTCCCCAAGACGGTTTTGTCGGCAAACTCCGCCAACTTCGCAGCTCGAACCGCAGCGGCAGCTGCAAGTGCTGCCACGACCTCGGAGTCATCCTGCTCCTTGGCCTCTTTCGCATCAGCATCTGCCGGGCTTTCCTGGTGTGGGTAGACACAAAAGGGGCATGTGAGAGGTTCTCCAAAGTGGGCGGTTGTTGTAGTAGTGGTGGCATATTTTGGGGACCCACCAAGAACTCTAATTCAGAGAAAACCCACACATCGTCATTGGCTAGATAGTTGTTGGCAGTGGTGAGAGGAAGGCATGGAAGGCAACATGCATAGAGTGTCTAACATTAGATGCTTCGGTGCCTTCTTCTCAGAGATTGGTGCTCCATGCACAGTGCACATCAGGACAGCCCGAATTTTCCTGAACAAGTCCTCCTCTCGGATCGCTGCAGCGTGAATCACAACCCTCCAAGCTCAACCTCCCAAAACCTAAAGTTAAACCATTAAGGGTCAGTGCCTCGACAGCTTGTAGAATTCCGCTCTCAACCCTCGTACCTCAACCCCACGACCCCTAAGCTACACTCGACAATACAGACACACACACACACACGGACACACACACACACACGCACACACACGGACACACACACAGACACACACA